GTTTGTTGAAGAAATTTAATAATTGTTCACCATCATCAAAAATGAAATTATCATTTGCAATTAGAATGTCAAAAAAGTTACCATATGTAAAACAAATGTTATTGGAAAATACAATGGTATTAGAAAAAATGATCAATTATTTAAATCAATTTTTTAGGTGTAATTATCAAATATATAATGAAAACCTTTATGAACAAGATTTCATAGGTTATGGAAAATATATCATTCAAAATGTTACAGAAAAAATAAAACAAGAACCTGAATTCCAAGAACTTACCTATTTACTAGAATTAGTGAATGAACGTTCATCTATGTCATTTGATATTGATGCATTAGAACAAGAAATCAAAGAAACTAAAGAAGAGTTAAAACCACTTAAAGAGAATCAACCTCGTTCTTCTATACCAACTAAAGTAGTTTCAGATTATTTGAATTAGGTTTTGATGATACTGACTTGTCAACGATATATTCTCATTAAACTCACTCAATTCCTTTTCTTTTTTTTTGTTTAGTATTTTATTTATATTATTATAACGTTCCATTCTTTTGTCGTTTTTTTAGAGAAGATTTCGAAAATTCCAAGCTGCTTCTAAACTATTTTAGTTCTTCTGCTTCTAACCCTGCTTGAAAACTGCTTGATTTGAAAACTATGAAACTGTTAAATCAAATGAAAAGACTCCTTATTATTTCTTTCTTTATTATTGAAAGTTATGCATTTTTCCAAAGAAAACCTATTATTCTTATACCTGGAATTATGTCAACTATTCTTGAAGGAGATGGAACTGTTTTGTCTAATCAAAAAGTTATATTCCCAAAGTATTGTTCAAGGGTGTTGAATAAAGAAACATTATGGCTATCAACCAAATCATTTATTCCTTATGTTAATGCATGTTCTTTTGGATATCTTGTTCCTGGATGGAATTCTTCTAATAAACAACAAACTGATTTAGATGGGATTAGAATTATTATTCCTCAGTGGGGAAGTACTTATTCTATTCGATCTATTGTTCCAACATGGCCTTTGAAATACTTTTCTAATGCATTTGATTCATTAATAAAACGATTAGAATCACTTGGGTATCAAGACCAAGTTGATTTATTAGCAGCCTCTTATGATTGGAGGTATTTTAGATTTGATGAATATAAACATATAGATAATTGGTATGAAAAAACAAAAAACCTTATTCTCAATACATTTAAAATCAATAATAATAGTAAAGTCGTTATTGTTTCACACTCTATGGGAGGTCTTATGTCTTATAAACTTTTTGATTATTTGGGAAAGGATTTTTGTAATGCTTATATAGACCAATGGATTTCAATGTCAACACCATTCCTTGGTTCAGTAAGGACATTCTCTGCAGTATTTCCTGGAGATAATATGGGAATACCTATCAATACAAAATATACAAGAGACCTTTCTCGGACTGTTGAGACGATACCCTTTTTGTTTCCGAATGGAGGAAATGAAAGATGGGGAAATGAACCGATTATGAGAATAGGAAATCAAACTATATTTACAATTAATAATATTACGGAATCTTTTAAAACTCTTGACTCTGATTTTCAAGAGAAAAGTATGTATGTTTATCAACATGGAATCAATGAATTATACTTGAAATATAATTATACTATTCCACATAACGTTAAGACCCATTGTATTATTACATCTGGTATTCCAACAATAAAAACAGTAAATATGGAAACTGCAAATTATGATGGGAATTTTAGTTTTGAATATGGTGATGGTGATGGAACAATTAACATTCAAAGTTTACTTTATGCTAAACATTTTACTCGATCAATTTTTAATATTGGAAAATACAAACATACTGATTATCTTCAAGAAGAAATAACATTTGAAACAATAAAACCTTTTATTTTGAAGAAATAAAAAAATAGAAAACTTAATTTAATTTCATTTAAAAAGAATGAATTAACATGATTTTTTTTTTCTACTTTAACATAATTTTGATAATTTCTCTGCTACAACCAATGACTTCCTCTTTGCAAGATCAATTAACTGAGAATATTTTTGAGTTAAACTTGTTAATGAATTTAAGGCACCAACTTGATGATATTTTCCAAAAGAGCGTTCAACAAGAACTCGTAAAATTATTTCATTCAAATTTTGATCATTTATTTTAATTAAACCAGCAAGAAATTTTTTCATCTCTTCTGTAGTAGTTTGTAATCTCATTAAATCTGCGATACCATTAACCAATTCAATTCTTTGATTATTAGTAGAACTTATCATCATTTCTTTCAGAACATCTAATGAATCTGAAGTGAATAAGAAGAGAACTATTGAAACGCTTGATAATTTATGAACCAATGTTAATATTGCTTTTGGATTTTTTTGTTTAAGAATTAGTTGGTAATCTGATGGAATAATTTTTAAGATTGGTTCAAAGCGTTCAGTATAAGTATCGTCATGAGAGACTACAGTTAAAATTGGAAGTCTTAAAGAAAGTGCAGTATAAGGAATAACTGATACGAATGAAAGAGCAAATAATTGGACAAGTGTTGGAAAACATTCTCTAATAACTAAAATACATATAAAAGTAGCTGATATAATTTGTTTATTAGCAGTACTTTTATTAATTAATAATGGTTGAATAAATTGGAGATATTTCATAAATAAATCAAAGTATACAACCAATGATTGATTTTTCATTTCAGAAGGTTTAGATAATTCATACAAAACATTTCTATGAGAAAATAGTTCAATCCATTGACAAGTAAATTTAGGGTATTGATTCGGATGAAGAATTTGAAGTACTTTTAAAACCTTTTGAATTAATATTGCATTATCAGTACTATCTTTTGTTTTTTCAACTAGAACTTCAATTATCATTTCTAACAATACTAAATAAATTTGTGGATGAAATTCTTCTTCTTTATAATTCTTTTCGAAGGATTTTATTATTTCATTAAAGATTTGAGTTAATATATCTGTGTATATATTTTTTTCTGATTTATGTGAATTAATAATAAATCCAATAATTTGACTTGAACGATAACAATAATCTTTGTTTTGTGTTTCAATACATTTTGTTATTAATTTATGAATACTTTTTTCAGTCATTTCTAATGAAAGTAATTGAGCAAACTTTTCAATAACATCAAATGCTAATGTTTCTTTTAATAATTCTATTAATTTATCATCTAAATGATTTTTAATCTCTTTCTTTACTCCAATACCATACATTTCCATTTGATAATTTGTAACTCCTCCATTTGCAATTTGAAGTTCTTCTGGTAATTTTGGAGCATTATTAAGATATTCAAATCCTTTTGCAACAAAACTTTCTTTATTTTTCATTCCTTCTTGTCGTTCAGAAGTAATAGAAATAATAAATTGTTCTAATTGTCGTTTAGCATTTTTTCTTAATTCATCTAACTTAATTTCAACTGCCATTTCAATGATTGGTTGAAGACTAGTCATAACAATTTCTTTCATTTGTTCAGTTGTTCGTGTTATATTTTTTTGTTTTATTGAAAAAGAAACAAATAGACATAAATATTTCCATAGTTTTGATTCTAAACAACTTCTACATGTATATTGAAGAAGTTTTTGTGCAATATTAAATACTCTATTAGAAGCTTCTGTAATTTTTTGTAAATTAGTTTCCATTGCAAAATCTTTTTGAACCAACTGAGTGACAGTTGTAATAATTGTATTTAAACTAACGTTTGTTGTTTTTGAAATGTCTTGTAATGAAAAATCAAGTGAATACGTAATAATCATTGTCCATTGGAATGTAGGTAATGAAGGACAAATAAGATAATCTGGAATTACTGGAAGTGGATGTTCTGATAATAAATTAATAAAACTTAATGATTTCTCACAAAGTAAAAATTGTTTTAATTTTTTTTCAGGAATAGGTTGTCTTTTCTCAACATATTCGTTAAGAATACTTTCATCCCCATGACTTCTATCTTTTGCAAATTTAATTAATTTATTTAATGCATCTTCTTCTTCAATTCTTATTGGATGAATAGTTAAATATTGTTCAGGTGAAATATGAAGTTTATTTAATAATTTATTAGAAGATTCGTGATGTGAACAAAGTTCTGGTGACAAACTTGTTTCACAAACAAATTGTAATAATGGTTGTATCCATGGATTATTTGGAGTAAATACTGTAGAGTTTGAAGAGGCCATTAAGAAATGAATAATAAATTCTAACATTACATCATAATTTTCTCTTGTCAATTGATCAGTTAATAATATTTTAGGTCTTAAATGATTTGACCTTAATGGTTTATTCATTCCAATAGTCAATAAACCTAATAATGATCCAAGTGACTCAAACAGTGAAGCACTTTGTCTATCATATTCACGTAATTTTAAAAAAATATTAATTGATTCAATAGTAAAAGAGAATAAATGTTCTGTTGTAGATTCCACTTCTTGTACAAACTGAATACATTCTTTTTGATTCTTCTCATTTAATAAAGCAATAACAAATAAAGATATCTCAGTAAGTACTTTCTTATGATTTGGTTGTGGTTTTAATAATTCAAATACTTTTTCTATTTCTTCTTTAAGTTGTTCTCCATTTAATCCTTCTGTATTTTCTCTTGAAGAAACAATATTTTTTATAATTGAAACGTTCTTAGAATCAAGTAAACTTGGAAGTTTGATGTTAATAAATAATTTTTGTAGTAAATTCATTATATTAGAAAATTTATTATTTGCATTATCACATATTATTTTATATAATTCTGGTTCATGTGCCTCAACATTTTTATTATCTTTTAATAAAACACAGTATGTTGGCCATTCACTTAATCGTGAACTAAATTGTTTTAGTGCATAAATTCCACAACAAAAGAAATTACTTTTTGGTGATTCTCTAACAGCCCATAATATAACTCTTAATAAATGAATTAATGCACAATTTTTTAATACTCCTTTGAGAATAATTTCTCCATATAATTTACCAAATTGAATAGGAGTTTCTTCTTTAGGAAAATCTTTTATTCTTTTAAATTCATCAAATAATGTTTTGATTAATAAAACAAATAAGTCATTATCAATTTGTTCATTACTCAATTTTGCTTTTTGAATTTCTTCAACAAATTGTTCTACAGAAAATTTTTTATTAAAATAATCTCCAAACATTTCATTTGCTTTATTTGAAATATTTTGTTGTTGATTTGTTTTATAACAACACTGTTTCTTTATTTCAATAGATTCTTTATCATAACCACAAGATACAGCTGTTGCTAATAATTGTTCGATTATAGAAATATCTATTTTATAAGGTGCTACTGTTTTAACTAATAAGTGTTTGTCTTTAATGAATTGAATAATTTCTTTACCAAAAATACTCCCTCTTAATTTTCTTTGTTCAGTTAACCATTTATCTAAATTAAACCCATCTTTTTTAACTAATAAACATGCAATATCAAGTGCAAATGATATTGGTTTCATTTGAGTAAGAATTTTACCAGATTTTTCAATTCCAATAGAATTAATAATATCATCTATGGAAGATGGATTTTCAATATACAAATCTCTAAGTCCTTGAGCTAAAAGTAATTTATTATTTTTCCATAATTGTTGAATGATATTGTACTGTTGTATATTATTTCTTAATAACGCTAACACTGCACGTTGTCTTCCTGCACTTGCTTTACATTTACATAATATTGGTAGTACAATTTCAATAGAATTATATATTAAATCAAAATTACTATTTGCTCGTTCTCCAATAGCAATAATCTGTTCTACAAAGCCTTGTTGTTCCCAAACCATTTTTATTCCTCTTTGTGTTCCAACATTATATAAAGAACAAATATATTTCATTAAATATTGACCTTCGCTAGTTGATTGTGATGCAATACAAATAAGTTTTTGAACAATACAACCTTGTGCTCTTCCATTATTCCATTCTTCTTTAAAGAATGAGTTAAATGGAAAATCACCAATTTGTTGGAAGATTCGAATTAATAAAATAATAGCATTTAATGATTTATATTCATACCCTTGAAGGTCCATTACTTTAGCAATAATACTCCAATTCTTACATTTAGGTTTTAATACTGTTCCAATAATTTCAGCATCCCATTCCGATACTGTCGATGAATCATTTGTTGAACGTTCAACACATTGGATTAACAAAACAATTAATTCTCCTACTTGTTGTTCAGCCATTGATTCACCATAAATGTTTGACAATAAAGCAGAAAATGTATCTTTTGAACCAACACAAGAAGTACCTAATTCACCGACAATCTCTTCTGATATAGTATGAATTGATGGAACTGATAAGTCTAATGAAACAGGGTTTTCCCATGAAATTGAAAAAATATTAGCATTTGAACAATTAGTTCTATCAATTCGTTCTTTAGGATGTTCACATAAATAGTCAAATAACAAAGCAGATGTTAGCAATGTTGGTTGACTAGGAGGAGTACCAAATAAATACTCACCAGAAGGAGTAAGCCGAAGTGATTTAATTTGAGTTGTCGAGAGATTCATTGATGTTAATTCTTTTTTAAATAAAATAGCTTGATTTGATTGTGTTAGATTGTTGATTTCATCTCGTAGTGTTTGTAATTTAAACGATTCTTTGATTTCAGGATCTGAAGTAATTGAAACGATAAGGGCTTTAATATAAATAAATTTTCCCTGTAATCCAGTTTTTTCTAATAAAGAAAGAATTTCAGGAATCGTTTGTTTACTGTTCTTTTTAGAAAGGCTATTGGCTACTAAACGTATTTGCAACAAATAGCTTTGCATAATTAATGATAGTGAGATTTTAGGTTATTTTCTTTTTTTTTTCTTATTTTCATATTTATTTCTTTTATTTTTCCTTTTTTTATGTTTTTATTTTTATTTTGTTATTTCTTATTTCAAGCATCTAATTTGAGGAAGATTGTAAAATAATTTAATTCCAATGAAAATAAAATAAGAGGATAATTTGACCAGTTCATTTATTAATACTACAAAAACCTAACTATTATGTAAATCAAATTGATTATTTTTTGTTATTTATCTTTTCAAGTTTTTTTTTTTGGGGATTAGTTTCGTAGAGAAATTTTCTTTTTTGTTTTCATATAGATTAGTTTAATGATATGTTATAGTTAAAATGATTATAAAATATAGCACTTGAAAATAAAATTAGTAGCTTGGCTTGTGTTCAGTACTAAAAATACAAAATGAAACTCATAAATTTAAAAAACGATTCATCATGTCAACAACATCAACTACTACTACTACCACTGCTACTGCAACGAGACAACAATTCCTTACTGTAGGTACTGGAAAAGGTCAAGGGATGACTACAAAAGGAAGATCAACGAAAGGAACTACCCATGACCATAGAAGTAAAAAATCAAAGAAAGGGTTATCAAAAGGAGGACCTTCAAAAGGTTCCGGATCATTATCAAATCAAGACATTTTAGAAGATTTAAATCGAACTCCAGTTGGGTTGTATACGTTTGTCATTTAATTTTTTAGTGTAGTGTTAAAAAGTGTTTATTTGTAAAAGTCATCAATGCAATTGAGTTATAAGATTCAACTCTAATATATAGATTTATTTTTTCAATCATTTTACCTTGTGCTACTATTATTGGATGCTTGAAATTAAAAAGTCAAGATAGAAGAGAAAAATTATGGGCTATTGCTAATTTGATTCTCGGAATTGGTTTTGTTTTCATTGCTGTCGTAGTGGTCGTTCTTTATCTTATTTTTGAACTTAAGTAATCGGCTGTGTGTTATGCTTCTTTGTCATGTTGATTTTTATTTTAGATATTTATTTCATTATGAAAAACTAACTCATAAATTGAAACAACAGAAAGATATATTGTAGTCATAAAAAGAATTTAAAAGAAATTTAAAAAAAGTAAATAGTTTTGAGTATAAATTGAGATTATCGTTAAATTAGTATCATCGTATTTTAGTTTTTAAGTTTTAATTGTTCTTTTCCAAAAAAAAACTAATCTCTCTTTCATTTTAATGTAACTATATACTAAACTGAAATTACTATCCTTATTATGAAATTATCTTTTATAATACTTTATTTTCTATTACCTTATTTGATCATTTTTTCTGAATTTTGTTTATTCATTTTAACCATATTTATGAAATAATACAAATTAATGAAGAACCAACTTCTTTTTAACTTCCTCTTAATGATGTATTTTTTTAAAAAAAAAACTAACGATAATATCAATTTTTTCTTTATGAGGATGTGTTAATTGATATGTAACTTTATATTATCAAAATTTCTTTCCCCTTTATAAATTTCCTAATTGTATAGTATATTTGAATTATTATCATTGTATAATATTGTAATATTCTTATTTTTCTTTTTTAATTTCTTTTCATTTATGATAAAATTATTTTTAAAGGTTAAATATATTAATGTCAGTCTCATTAATAGTAACTAGTATTTTATTATCTCTTCTTTAATATATTATTTAGTTGACAATAATAAATATTAATCAATTATTATTGAAGAAACAACTTGTTTATTTGAAAGTAAAGGTTTATGAAAATCTTTTATTTTATGAGGAACAATAGACTCTGAACTAATTCTTTTTTTACAATTGAAAAAAGAGTCCAATGTACCTGGTTTTGGTTTGCTTTCTCTTTCTATCATTTCAATAATTTTTTGAGAAGTTTGACCTTCACCAATAACAGAAGGAATAACATGATCAGCACGAATCATTTTATAACAATCAATTAATTCGTTAAAACTACTATGTTCCGAATATGGCATTTTATATTCTTTAACTTCAAAAGAACCTTTACATGTTGTTTTCTTTGCCCATCCAGTAGGTTGAAATATAATAATTTTATCATATTTATTAGGTAATTGTGATAATTCTACTGTTAAAGATGATATACTAATATTTGATATACTTGTTCTTATTTCTAAAGAGGATTCTTCTAACGTATATAATGATAAATCTCTTTTACATAATTTAACAATCGAATATTTATTCTCATCAACATGTATTTTCATTCCAGTTTGTCGTGCTATTTCTTCAACAAACATCTCCTTTCCAATAGTATATGTTTGAACAATAAACAAAGTTTTCCCCATTGATTGTTTAACAATTTTAACTGCCTCATTACAAATAATTTGTCGCTCTTTAAATTTATATTGTGGGTCACAATAAGTTGTATCAAGAAACAATGTATTTATGTGTTGAGTAAAAACATATTCTTTCCAATTGTTATCGTTCTGTAAAGTTGAATCAAATCTGAAATCACCAACATGGAGATATATTATTCCATCACTTATTCTTTTAATTACAAAACAACAACTTCCAGGTGCATGTCCTGCTTCAATTGCTGTGATAATATACCCATCATTATTTGATCCTTCAAAATACGTTGGTGTGTTTAATGGAATGACATAAAGATATTGACTTTTTACGTTGACTTATTTTTACTAAATTTAATGTATTTCAGTACCTATAATTATTCCACAATTCCATGTACTTGATAGCCTGCATAATGGTCTGAATGAAAATGTGATAATAAGAAATATTTATATCCTTCAATTCTATATTTAAAAGCATCAACAATAAATTCATTAAACAATAATTTACATGGATCACTAAGATATTGTTTGTGAAGTGCTTCTCGACTTATCTTTGTTGTATTTGGGAAACTCATCAATTACAAAAATAAGTTCTTAAAGTTTCTGCTTTTAATTTATATATAAAATTGAATTTAAAGGGAAAAAGAAAACGACTTGAAAATCAAAAAAAAATTTCAAAAAACAAGAACAGAAAATTCAATAAAAACTTAAAGGAATATAATGAAATTATTTCGTCGTAAAGAAAACAATATCTTACAAAAGCTTCTTCTTCCTGAAATTATAGAAATTAATAAAATAAGACAAGCAGTATTTCAATATGGTATTAGTGGAGATAATGAAGAAGATTCTAGATCTATAGTATGGAAATTATTATTAAATGTCTATTCATGCCAAAAACATACCTGGGAAGAAACTGATAATTTGTTACATAAAGATTATCTCACTTTTCTTAAAGACTTCTTTCCAAACCAAAAGATTAATGTTACTGATGAAACAACTGATGCTGATCAATTATTATTATATGAAATTGATAAGGATGTCAAAAGATTATTTCCTAAATCTCCTTTCTTCTTAGTTTGTCATTTTATTTGTTCAATTACAAAGAATTATTTTTTTATTAATCATTATAGGAAGAAAAAAATAGAGAATGTATTAGACATATTCTTTATGTACAAACTAAGTTCAATAAAACGTATCCTTATGTCCAGGGAATGAATGATATTGCTGGTGTATTGTTTTATGTTTTTGCACAATCAACTTCAAGAGCAAGAGCAGAATCAACAACTTATTACTGTTTTGCTTATTTAATGACTAAAATAAGTGATTGGTATTCACCTAAACTTGATTGGACATCAAGAGGTATTCATGCACAATTAGCACGAATAGATGCCGTTTTAGCAATGAAAGAACCAGAACTTTATGAACATTTAGTATTACTAAATATCACAAATACATTATATTCATTTAGATGGGTAACGTTATTATTTGCACAAGAATTTCCAATAGAAAGTGTTTTATTAGTATGGGATTGTATTTTAGTAGACCCTACAGGTGATTTTATATGTTGTTTGTGTGTATCAATGTTAGTAGAAATCAAGAGACAATTACTTAATGGAGATTTTTCTTATTGTTTAAAGACATTACAGAAATATCCACCATCTGCTAATGTACATAATATTATTAAAAGAGCTCGTTCTTTTTATACTGAAAGAGCATCTTTTCCACCTTTAGTAGAACCTACAACAGTTTAATATATTATAATATATTCTTTCAAAGAAAAATATAATAGTATGAAAGAATTATGTTGTTATTTAAAATAATTTTCAATTGTGCTATTTCTTTTTAATGACATTACATAAAAGTATGTTCAAAATAAAAGAATAAAATTAATTCAATTTTCATCTCAATTGTTAATCTTTTTTATGATCAACATTCTTTAAAATATTCTTTTCAATCATCATTCGATAAAAAGTTGTTCCTAAAGCAGATAATGGACAAATAAGAAAATCATGTATAGTATGACTTGACATAAATGTTGGTCCATTCTTTAATAAATCTAAGTCAGGCTCTGAAGTAATAACATAACGATCTAAGTTACAAAGTAAGGCATGTGCTGCATAATCAGCAGTAACTGTTTGAACATTATTTTCCATAGATGCAACTAATTTTGGTTTGTGTTCATTTTCTATAGCAAAACCTGGAGTGTCCATGTTAGATGGTGCATAATAATGAAGATGAACATTAGTTCCTAAAAATTCAAATCTTAATGAATCAAGAAGACCTTTAATAGCAAATTTAGTTGGGCAATATGCTGTATATCCAATTGATCCAATTAATCCTAGACATGACCCAATACAAACAATATCAATTCTTTCTTTAGTTGGGTTAGAGTCTAATAAAACTTTAATTTCCTTAATCATTCTTAAACAACCAAAATAATTTAGGTTCATATCCTTTTCATATTGTTCATAGGTCATATCTTCAATAAACCCTGGATGTGCAATTCCTGCACTATTAATAAGAAGAGATGGAATTCCATATTTTTTGACAGCTTGTTCTAGGGCTTCTTTAACATCTTCAGTATTTCCCATATCACAAATGTAATAGTCACATGTCGTCTTTGAATTTTCTATTAAACATTTTTCTTGTGTTTCTTTTAACTTATTTTCTGATCTAGATGCAATAGAAAGATGAACCCCTTTTTTTGCTAATCTTAATGCAATAGCTTGCCCAACACCAGCACTTCCACCAAAAATAAAAATATGTTTTCCTGTATAATCCCAATCCTTTCTTTTAAAAAGGAAAATTGAATAAACATAACAAATGCCTCCAGTAATAAAAACTATGAGATAGGCAATAACAATAACAATAATAAGAATAATTGGTAAAGAGATGAAAATTAAAGGGAAATCAAAAAATCCCATGTTATTGAAAGTTATGAGATGAAATTTTTTTTTTTATTCCAACAAAATGATAAAAATAATAATCACAAATGAGTTACTTCATACCTCTTTCCTGCGACATATAATATCATCAAAAATACTCCCAAAATATCTAATGGAATAAATGAAATATAAAATGATACATCATCTGTTCCATCTAAATTGGTTGCTAATAATCCAATAAAGGTCATAGTAAATGGACATAAAATACTTGCTACTAACATAAAAAATAAACTTTTTAAAGCAGCAAGATCAGATACCCTAACATTGAAACAACAAACATTATTCCAACATCCATTTTCATCTAATGATTTATTGCAAAGACACAAACTACAAAAAAAGATAAATGTAAACAATGGAAACAAAAAAGCAATAAAAAGGAAGATGTACAACGGAATAAAAACTAACTGGTATGATATATCTATTGAGTCTTCTATTTTCATAACAATAATTATGATTGCAATAATTAGAATAATACCTGACGGAATACTTAAGATTCCTCTCCATGTTTGTGGTCTTGGGTAACGATCACAAACAAAACACCCACTGATCACCCAAAGTAATAACCATAAAAATAATACTACTGGAATAATGTAGTATGGAACTCCTAAAGAGACAACAAATAGAACAATGTAATTAATCAAAATACATGGTTCATTTAATATTCCTATTCCACGTGGGTTAAATATGAATAGATAACGTGCTGTTTGAATTGGTGAAGAGAAACATCTCACTGGTGGATCATCTTCATCTGCATACTTTCCAACACAAAAATTAAACGTTGGGATAAAAGTGAAATAAAGGACAAATGGTAAACAAAAGAGTAAAGGGAACCAATACCCTACATTAAGTGTTCCTTCAATTTTTAGTTGAAGAAGAATAACTGAGAAATAAAATAACAAAATTGTTGTAATTTCTATTCCACAACAATTAACTCCATCTCGAATTTTAAATAATATCCGTTCTATTTTATTATGTTGTTCTTGTTGTTTAAATTCGAGTTGTTGCTCAGCTAGTTCAGTATCTTCTTGATGTTTTTGAATTAAACTATTAATGGCATCTTTACGAGTATAAGTTACTCTACCTGTTGTCTTTAATACTAACGAAGTCCAAACCTCATCCCGTTTACAGATATACCATAATCGACGATTTGTTTCACTAAATGAAAGTAAATCTCGTGGAGTTAAAAACTGAGTAATTGAAAAGATTGTATCATCACTTAATAATTCAAAGGGATTATTAGAGGTTAATGGAATTGATTCCATTTCAATATCTGGTAACCCAAGACTAATTTCAAAATCATCACTTTCTATATTCATTGGATTATACTAAGATGTTAATTTTGATTGTATTTTTTTTCTTTTTCAGATTTTTGGTTTTGTGTTTGAAAATTTATTGAATAAACTCAATAACAAAGGAAATATAACTTAATAATAAAGAAAGATAAAAAATAAAATCTTTATCTCAAATTCATAATTATGTCTGTTGATCCATTGGCTACATCTCAAGATATACTTGGAAGAACAAGAACAAGTATTTCAACATTTACAAGTGATAATTTACAATCAATCAAACATAGTATTTATTCATTCTCAACTTGTCAAGGTAAGATTTTCCAGAGTACTATTGAAACGTTATTTAACAAAGAATTTCCAAATAATAATGTTACACTTTGGATTGATGAATATGGGATTAAATTAGTTTCAGAACAAAAAAGTGTTTGTCAAACAATTGTATTTTGGGAAAAGGATATTTTTGAGTCATATATATTTGATAATAATCACAAAGAATTCAGTATAAAGATTCCACTAAAAGACTTAGTATTATTTTTTGATTCTATCATATCTGAAGTACGGTTTAATGTAGATATTTTTATATTAGAATCAAATGAAATTTTACTTCAATCTAAAAATAATACTACAACTGTTAGAATGAAAATTAACCCAATTTCAGATTCTATTTGTCCAGCAAACATATTTGATTTTAGTAAATTTAGAGTATTGTTATATATAAACTCTTCTTATCAACCGTTAATCCCATCATTTGGAACAATGGAATGGAACCATTTATATCTAATATTTGATGCTAATATTGATGGTACATTAACAATATCATCAAGTTCTATTTCTGATTCTGTATCTACTCACTATTCACAAAATTCATTTGTTAAATTTGAATGTTATCAAACTTTCTCTGCTCGTTATAGATTGAGTCATTTTAAATGTATTAGAAAAGCTCTAAAACATTCAAAGAAAATTACAATTATGATTAACCAAAACAAACTTCTTTATATAGAATGTTCATATCAATCAGAAGACAAAGATGTTGATGCTGAAATTGCATTTTATGTTAGTGCACAAGTAGAAGATATTCCTTTCTCATTGTTACAAGAAAAAAGTCAATCTACAACACCATCTCAACTTCCTACACAAATTGAAGAAATAGAAGAAGTTTAAAAATAAATAAATGACAACGTTAAAAAAAAATATTGAATTATGAATTTTTATTCCCAATATTCTCTCATCCACTTTCTAATTTCTTCAAGGTCGTATGATTGTGCAATTTTTTTAATTTCTTCAATTTGTTCCACATTATCTAATAAAATTTGTCCAGGTAATATTGGGTCTACTCGAAGAAACCTTTCACCAAATAGTAATTTTCCTTCTTTTACAGTTTCATCTCTTCTTGCCAACATAAACAAATCAGCTAAAAAAGGTGCCCATTGAACCAATCCACCATTACCAATTTTTTGAGCATCAAGATGAGCTGGAGTTGGTCTTCCAGCAGATAATGATAAACAAACAATATCTTTTGGATCAATTCCAATACCTTTTGCACCAATTAAATATGGCCAAGCTACTCCACAAGGAACATTATCTATAATACCACCATCAACATAATTTTGATAAGGTCTATAATAACTTGGTGCAGCAGCAGATCTCAAACATACATCAGCAACTTTTTCTGTATCATTTCCGGGAATGATGTTATTAAATGCTTCTGACTTGCAATGTCTTGTTTCTGAATCAATTCCACTATCAATAAGAAATGCAGGAATAAGAACATGTCGTGGTAAATTCTTTAATTTTAAATTACCAAATGCAACTTCTCCAAAAGCTCTTAAATAGTCATTGATGTATTTAGGATTTGTGACTGATTGAATAGAGTCTTTCTTAAAAGAATATCGAATTACATGTTCAATCAATTTTATTAAACCATCTAAATTATATCCCATTGATAATGTAACAGCAACAACACTCGATGCACTACATCCACAAAATAAATTACAATTAGCAAACATATTAGGAAATTCTGCAGACAATCTTTGAAGTAAAATAACTTCCATAAGTACTTTAATTCCTCCACCATCAAGAGAGATAATTCTATATTTCTTTCCTTTTCCAAAATTATTTGGTTGTTCCATCATTCTTCTTGATAAAAATGCTTCTTTAATTAATACCATAGTTTCTCTTTTAAATTGATTAACACTGGGATATTTAACTATTTTATTCATAAGTTTTTTTAATTTACTTTGTTTTGGTAAGTTATATGTTTGATATTTCTTATATAATCCTTCTACTGTTGTGTCTTCATTTGGATCTAACTCAACACATTCAACATTGAATGTATCTTCATTATCACTAATAGTATCAGTTGCAGAAGAATTACCATTTGAACTAGATAATGAAGGAGAGTCTGATCTACTTATAGCAAATCCAGCAATACCTGTTAATTTTTGTTCTTGTGTTATTTGGTCTTTTTTACATAAAGGTTTTAATAAGTCCATTAACTCTTTGTTTCCACTTGCTTGAGCATATCCATATACATCAATACAACGAATTGTTTTATCTGTTGGTTTTCCACCACATTCAATTAATTTATTTACAATATCAACATCACCAACCAATGCAGCAATATGCATTGCTGTTTCTTGTATTACATTATTTGTTTTTACTATCTCAGGATATTTAGCAATAACTTCATTAATTATACTATTTTTTAATGAACTTGGTGGTGAAGCAGCTATCCAATGTAAATAACTATCTCCAGTAGGTAATAAATGATTTGTACTTGCTCCATGTTCTATAAGATATTTAGCAATTTCCAGTTTGTTATAGGCTGTAGCAATAAATAATGGAGTTTCTCCTTGAACATTTGGTTGATCAATATAAGAAGGAAATTTTTCACAAAAATATTGTAACACTTCAAAGTTTCCTTGTTTACACGCTTCTTGTATTATTCTTATAAATTGTGGACTTGTTTGAATTGGAAATTGCCTTAAATCATCTAAAGATTTTATTGCTGTTGTTGTATTCATTTCAGTATTGATGTATTTATTAATTAACAAAGCAAAAAGGTCTTGTTGTTGATTTATATTCATTATTAAAGATAAAGTTTTAAGTTCAAAAATTTTTGGAATCAAAAAAGAAAAAACAATAATAAAAAACAAGAATCTTAAAATAAGAAGAACTTATAAAAAAAATATAAAATTTTCTAAAAAAAAAAGAAAGAAAAGAAAGAGATGGTTACAACTATGGCACATCTTAATGAATGTATTAATAAAGTTAGTGAGTTAGAAGTTATTCATGAAGAAGTTATAAAAGAAATTTGTGAACAATTTAAAATTATTTGTTTAAGAGAACAAAATGTTGTTCCAATTAATAGCCAAGTAACAATTGTTGGATGTTTAAATGGACAATTACATGATTTATTAAATATTTTTAAAATGTCAGGGAAAATACCATTTACGAATTATTTGTTTTTAGGAGACTATGTTAATTTTGGAATGAATGGATTAGAAGTTTATATTATCTTAATGTGTTATAAAGTTTTATATCCAACTAAAATAATTATGTTGCGTGGTCAAAATGAACTTAAAATGTTTAGTGAAATTGGTGGATTTCAATCTGAATGTTTTAGTAAATACGGTAATGATAATGTATACCAAATGATTGTTGAAACATTCAAATACTTACCTATTGCTGCAGTTGTTCAAGGAACTTATTTATGTTGTCATGGTGGAATTTTAAATCATGTATCATTAGATAATCTTAATACACTTCCTCGTGTTAAAAATCTCACTGCATCTGATGCTTTAACTTGGTTTATTATTGCTCAAGCTAAAGAAGAAAAATACACAAAATATTTCAAATGGTATGAACGAACTGATGAGTATCAATTTACTGAAGCTGATGTTACTCAATACCTCGAAAAAGAAAATTCTAATAACCCCTCAAGACATTTTAAACTTCTTATTAACACAAATTCATTACAACCATTAGGTGAAGTACTCTCTGATAATAAGTCTGTTCATTCTATTTGGAGTGCAACCAATTTTGTTGGAGAGTTTGGTAACTTAGGGTGTTATTTGGAAGTTAGTAGTGCTGGAATGATTGTTTCAGTTCAATATTGTGCACCACCACTCTCTGCTATGCCAAAGAATTGGAAACCATTACGACAACAAATCCCAAAAGCTGTTCCTGATTTCTTTGCTTAAATAACAAAATTCATCGTTCCTTGGTAGTATTATGTTATTTATTTTTAAGATAAATTTTTAACAAGATATAATCTTATTATTTTCAATGAACCAATTTCAATTTACTATTCCTCCAATTGATTTTGTTGGACAAAAGATTGTTGACAAAAGTACTTCAATTATCGTTCCACTTACCATCGTTTGTTCTTCAATGAGTTTTTTATTACAAAGTTATTTTCATTATTTGTTTATTTTGTTATTAATCACCTTTAGATTCTTGGATTTATCATTGGCTTTATTACACAAAACGTATTTGTAATGCTTTCAATCGATGGAATCGGATTAGCATTTTGTTTGTTAGCATTTGGATTACCAATGCCTTATTTACGAGCAAACTATCTTGAATGGCAAAAAGTTGGAACTACAGTATCTCGTTCATCAAAGAAAGCTAAAAATGAATAACTGTTTTCTTTTTTTTTATATATAACCAAGTTGTTTGTCTTTTGATATCAATCTTTCTTGAGGATAATCATTTTTGTAGAAAAGATAAAAGTATTTAAGGTTAAAATATGTTTGTTAAAGGTTAATGAAACTTAATCTCAAAGTGCTTAATGGAAATGGTGATGCTATTGAAATAGAAATGAATGATAAAAGAACTGTTCGATTTCTAAAAGACTATCTTGATTCTAATCAGTTATTTGAAGACCAATTCATAACATTTCAATGGGAGTTATTTGATACTGATTTAAATCCGTTTGTTTTCATTCTTTGAAAGCATGTTTTGAGAGTCTTGGTTATAACTAAAATAGTATTGATTACTTCCAAAAAGAAGTAAAAACATTTGGAAATGAATTTTCAAATGAAGCAGCTCAATATTTAGATGATTTATATAAAAAGATTTTATTCAGTGTTATTCCTATTGAAAGAATTCAAACTCACCAATCACTAATTATTTGTGGGGTGGAGTTCTTTATGGTTGACAAAAATAAAATAATAAACAGTAAATTTAAAGATGAATCATTTCAAATTTCACATGACTCAACACTTTGTATAGTAAATTCATGTAGAAGAGGAATAGGATTTAATTTAAAAATAAAAGTAGATAACCAAGAATATGGAGTGGAACCATATACAGTCCAACTTATTTCTGTTTCTCCATCATCAATAATTACACTCCAGTTTCAACCACTTATTGAATGGTCAATTAATAATGACCATCATTACTATCCTATCGAAGCGCCCCCTCAAGAACCAAATCTAACAATCAAAATATGTTCTATTCTTTCTCAAGAAACAGAAATGACTAATATTCAAAACCAATACGGAATAGAACCTTCTTTAATCTTATCAAGGGCAATCAAGTTGTTTAAAGCAGTTATCAGAAACAATAAAGTTGAAATAAATACTTTTTCATTACCATTACAAACTGTGTATTCATTAATACAACTTAAATCATTGTATTTCGAAGGATCAACAGAACATGACAAACTTTACTGGTCAATAATTGGAGATTCTCAACTCAATGAACTAATTTCTGTTGAAGAATTAAATGAACTTATTGTGCTTGGAAAAATTAATTCAAGTTCAACCATAGTTTGCTCTTCTCAAGAAGACAAAGAGAAATATGTTTATGTAAGTAGAATGTTGTTGTACCACCGGAACATCCCATTAAATGAATGTTTTGTATCAACAACACTTCAATTGGATAATGAATTTAGAGAAGAATCTGGAATTACTTATCCTTTTGTAAAAAGAAATCCAACAAAAGAATTATCAGTACCTCCAACACCACGAACAAAAACAACTAAAAACAACGACTTTGAATCTATTGCATCAAGTTTATCTTTTTGCGAAAAAATTGATCAAGATATTAAAAATTACAAAAAAGAACACATCAGAAAACCAAATACAAGAAATCATATAAATGCGTTTGATAATTTTATGGATCGATTCAGTGAAAATCAGCCTACAAGTCCAATTATTATGGAAGAAGTTCCTCAAACATTTGAAGTTGAGCGAATTGTTAGAAAGAAAATAGTTCATGGAATTACAAGTTATCTGGTTAAATGGAAGAATTATTCATCAAAAGATAATACTTGGGAAACTGAAGACGAAATTAGAACTAAGTACAGTGTTTTAATTGATGATTTTGAAAAGAATCAAAAGAAACCTAAGAAAATTGGAACAGAATATAAAGAACATGGTGTTGTTCATGATATTTGGAATGAAAAAGGACAATTACATGTTTTATACCAACCAGACGGCAGACCAAGAAATGTTTATCCAATTGAATTATTGAAGGTTAGGAATCCTGAGGCACTGATTGAGTATTTTGAAACTAAGTTATATGGTTTTGATGGTCAAAACAAAAAGGAAGAATAAATATTTATTTTATCAAAATTATTTTAAGTAAGGTTTTTGTTTGAAAAGAAATTTGAACTAGAAAACATTATTTTTGATAAACTGTAATGTTGTATCCCTCAGACACCAAAAATTCATATCCATTAACAAATGAATCAATTGCAGGTATTGCAATTTATTTATTTTTATTTATATTGGTAATTATTCAATTTGTTCATACATTATATATGTCACATAAGAGATATAACCGAGTACGTTTAACTATAAGTCGTTCATTATATTACTCTTTTGTAGTTACTTATTTGTTTTTGATGTTATTCGTATTTTCTTTAATGCTCTATTCATCAAAACAATCATGTTTTTTATATGTTATTCAACGTTTGACAGAATCAATTTGTTGTTACTTATTTATAACAGCATTCACTGTTTGTTTATTTGATTATTATGACCATCGTTCAGGAGGGAATGTTGCAGTTATGAAAAATCGATTTATAATTCCATCTATTGTTTATACTGTTAATACTGTGTTTTTAATTCTTGTGTGTGCCCAGCTTATTTATTATGTTTCTCTAGAAGGTGGATGTGATCCAACACTACCTAATAGAAGTTGGGCTTATCTTTCAATTCCATTTACAATTATTAACCGTTTGTTTATTATTAATTTATGACATTAAACTAAATAAACAGAACAGTTTATTGTTTTGGTAATATTTGGAGGAGTAGCAGTATGGTTAGTGTATTCTCATAGAAATTTGAAAGTGAGTCTTAAAATTGACAAAATGTATTTTGTGTATTTTTTAAAATTTGGTATTGCCATTGGTATCCATCTCTCAATTTTGATTTTAAAATTGTTATTCTCAGTTTTAGTTAGTGTTGAAACCTATTTTATATCACTAAAATATTTATGTTGTGATCCACTAAACTGTTTTGCTTTATGTTTGTTTTTATGATAAGTTTTTTTTTCATTTCTCATGAAGTATTTATTTAATAGTTGTTCTTACGACATATACCCTTGGTCAAGATGATAAAAGAGAATCAAGATTTTATCAATCACTCCAAACTGAAGAACATTTTTAATTACCTCTATTCTTTTTAATAATAACACTTTAATTTTCTTTTTTTTTAAAAAAAACTCATTTAGAAAAGCCCCATAAGACATATTACCAACATGATAATAACAATTCCAACAGAATGATTAGGTGGTGGATCTAAACTTTTAGTTAAACAGTTAACTCCATCACAGTCATTTGTTGGGGAGCATTTATCTTGTAAACATCCATAGTCTTGTTCAGTAGATGGACCTACTTTAGTTTCAAATGTGATAATTGTTGGATGAGAACATGGAACAGTCTCACCATCACAATTTCCTATTCCACATAAACTGTCAGTAGATAACTTAGCAGTACCTTTGTCTCCCCAATCAGTTCCCCAAGAATTTCTAATAATAATGAAATTACCATTAACCCCTTCTCCTTGTGCTTCAAAACCAAATCCAACAAGTACAACCATATGATTAGTGAAAATATTACCATTGTTAGAACTACAATATGAACTTACATTTATTATACCACTAGAATAACTTTGCCATACTTCAGACACAACTCCACTAAGAGGGACATATATTCCACTAATAGCACCTTTATTATCATAGATAATTTGTTTTATTTCATTGTATGTTGGTGCATACCATTCCTTATATGAGGTGAGTGTCTGAGCAAATTCTTTAACAGTATAACAACTTGGTCTTGTATATGATTGACAATCTGGAGAGGTTTCAGCATCTCTAAATGGATAAACGTCATTTGTAGCAAATACCCTATTATAGTTTAATGCATCATATGACATTCCACTACAACATCCTTTAGTTTTACCGCCAGTACAATCAACAATTTGCTGTATAGAATATTGAACATTTTCACCATTAGCAATATGGTGTTTTATTTGAAGAAAATTAGCTATTGACGCGGCGTAACAACAACGACAAAGTTTTTGATCAACACCAAGGCTACAGTGGTCGATTTTACCATCAGTCTCTGAATTATAATTAGTATTTTTACCACACAAAGAATACATTGTAGGATAGTTAACTTTTTGAGGAATATACCTATTGTTATTAACAATGTTTTGATCTTTACTATTTTCACTCTTTTTTTTTCCACCAATATACATTTGAATAAATTCATCATTTGTAAGATCAGTAAAATTATTGATATCAAGTTTGACATCACTCTCTATTTTCCTTTGAGCATTAAATTTTTCTATCATTTCAACTCGTTGCTAGGTGAATAAATTATTGCTACCAATAACCTATTACAAAATCCAAATAAAGAATAACTGAAAATAAACAAACAGAAAAAATTGCCATTCTTCTTATTTCTTCGGATTGACTTAAATACTTTTTACTGAAACTTTCTTTAAATATCTTAAAAGCAGAAACATATCGTTTCTTTGCACATAATTTTCTCATTGAACTTGTATCAACACCAAGAACCACGCTAATAAGAATAAATAAAATCATTTGAATTCTGAGAGTTCATTTGAGTTCGCTAAAATAAGAAAAAATTAAAAAATTAAAAAAAAAAGGAAATTCTATTTTTTATTTGACGATAAAATCATAATATAAAAATATAAAAATAATTTCCTGATTTAAATATCTTAAAAAGTGTAAAATATAATTAGAATGAAATTATGTAAAAATGGATTTATTGTAACAAAAGAAGTACGTTACGAATATGAAAAATCTTTGATTTTTGTTCTACAATTTTTATTAATTTATATTTTTCCATTTTTTTTTTATTAGTTTCCATAGACAGAATCTTAATATTCAAATGACAACCAAAATCGGGATTTACCAATCTAAAATTAATCATTTAATCATACAAAATAAAGAAAATGGAAGTCATTTTATTAAGAATATTGTCAATAAAGCAATTATGTCTAATGAAATACAACATCTAGAAATTAATAATATAATAGTGTTTTGTTCAACAAATGGTATTATTACAAATTATGAAGTCAATATATCACTTCAACAAGCAGATAATAATTTGCTAATTATTTTTCCAAAGAAATATGGTTTTTTTATTGTACCAAATCCAATTTATATTATCATTGATTTTATTGATATTTCTTTTGTATTAATTAAATCAATCACTCAAACATTTAGTTTTTGTTATTCAGCTTTTACTCAATACTTTAAGACATGTTTGTTTTAATTTTTATTATGACTTTTATTAATAATTCTAATTCCTCATCTTTATAGTTCCTCATGTATTTGATATCGTTTGTCCATGTTTTGAATATCAAAATTGTCAAACAACTGTTAATATTTCTGTTGATGGAACATTTATTGTTACTCGTTCAATTGTTTATTCACCAAGACAATATGAATTGGTTGATGGATATTATAACTCATTATTTATTCTTTCTCTTAAAGGAAAGAGTATATTAGAAGATCCTCTTTCTATTAGAATTCTTTCTAATCTCAATCATCGGTTTTGTGTTTATTATGATGATGGTAGAGAAGTTTTTGTATCTCATCCAAAACAAGGACTTAAAACTGGAAGAACAAATTCAGCAAGGTTTAGAAATGTTAATAGAATTCAATCGGAACGTTACTTTTTAAATAAAGAAGAACCATCTATTCCTATAGAAAAAAATACTTTTCATGCTGGTGTTATTGCATTGTTTAATGAAGAAAAAAGAAAAGAATTAGCAGAATGTCTTATACTTATTGATGTAACAAATCAAGACACAATTAAAGACGCCCTCTTTGCAATTCAACAAAAATTATTTCATAATAAATTAACAATTGTAATTCTTTCTTCAGATGGAGATATTATATTAAATGAAATTAATGATGAAATTCGTAATATTATTTTTTCTAAAACATTAACTAATGTAAAACATCAAGAAGCTTTATTTTATGTTAATGAATCATTAAAAAATAATAAAGATATTCATGTTGTATTAATAACAGAACATCAAACAATAAATTCTGATTTTACTAATATCTTAATAGCTGGTTGTCAACTAACATATATCCCAACACCTGAACTTTTCACTCAAATTCAACATTGTATATTAAATATCTTTTCTTTAACTCGTTTTAATCTTATTACTGGATTATTAAGTATTGAATTGTTTTTAGAAGCATTAGACTCAATTTGTTATCTTCCAACAGTTCCATCAATTTCTCATTCATCAACTTTAGCTAATTTCCCTCAACCAATTTTTTATACCTCTAACAGAACGGTTATCCTTTATCTATGTCTTTCTTCAGAAACTCAATCTATCAAAATTTCTACAAATAACCATCTTTCAACAAGAAGTTCTATTAAGTTATTAGACCCAATCATGTATTTAATGAGTCAAATGATACACTGGTCTATAACCCCAATTAAACTAAATCCTAGAACGATTATTCGTGAAAATATTATGTTAGGTCAACCTGCAAAAATTTCTGCTAAAAAAATTAAAAAAACAACTCCCAGTACTAGGTTAAGACTTTCTCGTTCAATTGGTCATTCAACAGAACCACTACTTTCGTCGCATCTCAATGATAAAAGAAATGAAACTTTAAAAAAATTTTCTGCTATTATAAATACTACTAAAGCAGATGAAACAGGATTAAATGCCATTAGAGTTTGTGATATTAAAGATCGAATCATCTCTTGTTATCTCCAACATTACACTGACCAAATTATTCCACCATCTTTTCATAGTGATATTAATCAAATTTATTCAATGAAAAATTGGATTCTTATTCCCGCTAAAACAACTTCAACACCTCACATTCCATCTCACTCTTATGATAAATGTATTGGAATAGAAGAAGTGGATACAATCTTTTCTAAATTTAATTTTCCTTTATCAAAACCATTATCTCCTAAAGACCATTGTTTTTCTTCTCACACAGAAACTGGTCCAAGAAAATGTAATGAAGATTTTAGTGTCTATATAGATGATTTAAATTTACTTTCAACTTCTCAGTATGGACGTATAACTGTGTTTGGTGTATTTGATGGTCATATGGGAACATCAGCATCCGATTATTGTTCATTTAAAATTTTCAATTATCTTGTTTCAAATCCTCATTTCACAGAAAATATTCAAATGGCATTAAAAGAATCTTTTAAACAAGTTAATAAAGGTTTCTTAACTATTGCAGATGTTCTTCATATTAATGCAGGGACAACTGCTGGAGTTTGTGTTATTGATGATAAAAAAATTACTACTGCTAATATTGGTGATACAGAAATAATATTTTGTAAGAAGAACAGTAAACCGATAATACTTTCTAACAAACATTCTCCAAACAACGAAGTTGAAAAACAAAGAATTGAACTTGCTGGAGGTAAGGTTTTTTACTTCCATGGATGGAGAGTAGAAGGATTACTAGGAGTATCGCGTAGCATTGGTGATATTGCATTAAAAAAGTTTGTGACTGACGAGGCAGACACAAATCAGATAGAAAGGAGTCCAGACGATGAGTTTGTTTTAATTGGATGTGATGGTCTTTGGAATGTAATTTCTTATGACTTTTGTGCAGACATTGTTAGAGAATATTTATATACAAATGATTACAATGGTGTTGATGAAAATGGAATCAAGAAACCAACAAATAAAAAAGATATCGCTCGTTACTTAGTAGATTTAGCTTTATTCAAACAAAGTTTAGATAATGTTACAGTGTCAATATATTTCTTTTCTCAATAATCTAGTAGTTTTTGGTTATTCTTAAATATTATTTTCATCTTGGAAGAAACATCAAAATATAAAAAAGAATTTTGTTTTATGTTAAAAAACCTCAAAAAGAAAAACAAGAAGAAATGTTAAATGAACTTAAAATCAAAGGAAATCATTACAAATAAATTGAATGAGTGAACTTGATTTAGTGTTTTTATGTGATACTACAGGGTCTATGGGTTCATATCTTCGTGCTGCACAAGAAAGTATTGAGAAGATAATTAGTACAATTATACAATCAGAGAAATGTGATGTTAGATTTGCACTTGTTGAATATAGAGACCATCCACCACAAGACAATTCATTTGCGTTTAGACTCACTGACTTTACTGATTCTATGAAAGCTATCAAAGAAGCAGTTAATAGGATGAATGCAAAAGGAGGAGGAGATGAACCAGAGTCTGTTTGTTGTGGAATGCACTGTGCAAGTAATTTAAAGTATCGAGAAAGTGCAGCAAAGGTGATAGTTTGGATTGGTGATGCACCACCTCATGGGTTTATTAGGGAAGGAGATGGGTTCCCTAAAGGATGTCCATGTGGATATGATTTACTTAAAGAAGTAAGAGAATGTATGAAAAAAGATATTGTCATATATTGTGTAGGTGCAGAACCATTAGGAAGTAGATATTTAAGAACATTAATGCGAGCAGTAGCACAATTAACAGGAGGACAATATGCAGCACTAGCATCAGCTAATGTTCTTGGAGAATTAATCACTAATGGAGCTATTGAAGAGGTTCAAATGAAAGGAGTTATTAGTCGTATTAAAGAAACACTTGAGAAAGATCCATCATTTAAAACATTAACTCCAAAAGAAAAAGAAAAAAGAGCAAAAGAAGAAATAGAAAAACAAAGTAAAAACACAGAAATTGAAAGGATAGAAATAGAAACAATATTTAAAAATGAACTTGCACCAGTTCCACAAATATTTTTAATTGCTGAAACATTAAAAGATTTAAAAGATAACATGTATGAAACACCTGATATTCAAGTAGAATTTAAAGATGGAATGTTTACAACATCTACTGGATATATAAGAGGAATGGGTAGGGGATATGCAGCACCTATGATGTGTAAGAGTTTAGATCGAAGAGAAGTGGGGACATTTTGTTGTGAAGAAACAATGAAAATGGAAACAAAAGAAATAATAGAAGAAAGAACAACAACACAAGAAATAAGAAAAAAGAAAGGAAAAGTTACAAAAGAACAAACAGAACGTATGAAACAAAGAATAAATAATTGGTATAAATAAATGAAGAAGTTAAAAGAAATAAAAGTTTTTAGAAAGGTTAAATTTTAAAGAAAGAAATAAAAAAGAAAAAGAGAAGGAAAGAGAAGAAATAATATAAAGAAAATGAAAAGAAGAACTAAAAATGATCAAATAAATGAGTGAAATTAGTAAATATCCAACAGGATCTCTATCAATTAAATTTTTTTCACAAATGACAGAGAAAAGAGTATTAGTTAAGAAAGTTAGATTAATAGCAAATAAAGAATTACAAATGTGTATTTCAAAAGATTTTGTTGCAATACTTACAAGTGGAACATATGAATTAATTGAAGTATGGGAATGGCCAAGTATTACAGAAATTTCATGTACAGAAAATGCAGAAGAATTTATTGTTAAAGTTAATGGAAAAAAACAAAAATTAATATCAACAGCAAGAAGTTATGTTATTTGTATACTTCAAGAATATAAATATAAAGTTAAACCAACACATTATATGTCATTTTTAGCAGAAAAAATATATAATAATGGAAAAAATAAAGAAGTTAATATTCAAATAAGACCATATGGAATAGTTGAAATATCAAAAAAAGAAGGAAAAAAAGAAAAAGTAATAATGTTTTGTGATATTAAAGAAATATGTTTATGTACAGATTCACAAGGAATTGGAATTATTAAAGAAGGAAATGAAAGAATTATATATTTAATTAATGATAGAGGAATGGCAGCAAGTGAAATTGTAAAGAAATGTGATGGAGTTGGAATTAAAATGATAATTAATTCAGAATTAACAATAGAAGATATATTTAATTTATCAAATATTAAAAAGGCAGAAGAAGAAGAAGGAGGATCATTAGTAGAAATTAAAGTTAATCATGGAATTGGAAAAAAAGAAAAAATAATATGTTTTACAGAAATGTGGATTGTTGAAAGAGAAATTAATAATTATGGAATAACATTTGCAAAACCACTTAATGAAATAATTCATATATTAAGAGGACAAGATGCTATGGAAATTATTATTACATTTAGTGATGGATTACAAAAACGATTTTTTACAACACAAAGAGAACAATTTATTGCAACATTATTTGATTGTGCAATTGCAGCAAAAGCAGAACCTATTATTTCAGATATTCCAAGATTTGGATCATTAATTATTGAAAGAATGACAATAGCAGAAAGTGGACAAATAGAAATATCTATATTAAAGAATTTAGCAAATTTTGAAGGAAATAAAATAGTTGATTTAGAAGCAAAAGAATTATTTATGGTATTTGTATTTTTATTAAATAATAATACAAGTATTAATGGACCACAAATTGCAGATTCAGGAAGATCAAAATTAATTGGACAAGCATTAGAAAAAATGATAATATATGGAAAAGCAGGAGAAGGATTTTTACAAAGTATTTATAGATTATTATCAACAAGAATGGGATATGAAACATTTGTACAAAATAAAAATATTATGGAAAAATTAGTTGAAATTATTGGAAAAGCATTAGAAAGTGTTAAACCAATTATAATATTTTGGGGATTAAGAATATGTGGATTAATGTTATATTCTACAGCAGAAGAAAATACAGAAAAAAAAGGAAAATTAGCAGTAATGAAATTAGGATTACATAAAAAAATATTTAATACTCTTAAAGAAAATATTAAAAAAGGAAATCCATTTATAATTCATGGATGTGTTACTACACTTAAATATATTGTTTGTGAACCATATTCTAATACTACAGAATTTAATATGTTTAATGAAACAATGAATTTAATTGGAAGTTTAGGAAGAGATTTATTTATACTTTTTCAATCACCATGTATTTCTATTCCACATATTGCAGGACAAATGTTAAAAATACTTATAGAAGAAACAGATATGGAAGAAAAAATTAAAGAATTACAAGATTATGCATTATTAGAAGGAATTACATTACAATATTTTTATACAGCATGTTTTTCTAAACCAAAAACTACAACACAAATACTTCAAAAACATTTAGCATTACATTTACTTGATATTTTTACATTTGAACATAAAGAAACAGAATCAACATTTAAAAGAATATTACCATATGCATTACTTAAATATTTAGAATCAGAAGAACAACCAAAAGAAGAAAATGAAGGAATTGATAGTGAAAAACGAAAAGGAGTTAAACAACAAGAAATAAATAAAGCAATTGCATTTTTAAAGAAATGGAATAATGAAAGACATCAAAAAGGAGAAGAAATTAGAACAAAACAAAAACATATTAAAAAAAATAAAAGAAATTGGAATATGGTTATTTATCAAATACATCAACAACATAGATGTGCAGATTTAATTTGGAATAATCAAACATTACAAGAATTAAAAGAAGGAATAAATAATGAAATTAGACAATTAAAAAAAGATCAAGAAGAAGGAGAAATTGCATGGAATTATAGAGAATTTATTATAGAATATCATTCATTAGATAATGAAGTATGTGTTGATGGATGTTTTATTAAATGTTTATTAGAAAAAGGAGAAATTACATTAAATGAACCAAGAGAATTTTTTGATACATTATATCATAGATGTTTATTTGAAACAAATAGAGAATTACAAGGATTAGCAATTCAAGCTATGAGTGTAATATATAAAAAATTTAATAAAGAAATTGGAATATTTAAAGATATTTCACATATTGTTTCAATGTTAAAAATGACAAGATCATTATTAATAAGAGATAGATTAATTGAATTAATTGATTCATTATTAAAAGTAGAAATTAATGCAAGAAAATTTATTGATGTTGGAGGAATTGATTTATATGTTGAATTATTAATTCTTGTTCATCTTCATTCAGATCATGCTATTATTCCATTACAAACAAATTTATTAACAGCAGGAACAATAATAGGAGAATGGTATTATGTAGAAATTAATAATAATAAAAAAGAAAAAAAAGGACCTGTATCTATTGATAAATTAAAAGAATTACTTAAAGAAAATATTATTCAAGAAACAACAATGGTTTGGGCACAAGGAATGGAAGATTGGAAAATATTAAAAGATATTACAGTATTAAAATGGACATTATTAAAAAAAGATACAGGAATATTAACTCCAATTGAATTATGTCAATCTATTTGTAAAACATTAGAAAATTTAGTTACTATGTATCCATCACGTGATATGCATGGTATTTTATTAAGACCAATTCCAAGAGCTAAAAGAATATTATCATCACCAAGAAATCTTCCACATATAGTTCAATTATTATTAACAGCATCACCAACAATAATTGATATAACAGCAAGATTATTAAAAAATTTATTAGAAGATAATCCAACAGCACAACCTAAATTTTATTTAACAGGAGTATTTTATTTTACATTAATGTATTCAGGAAGTAATTTAAAAGAAATTTCAAGATTATTATATGCTACTCATAGACAACAAAAAATAGGAGAATCAGTTGAATTATCAATATTAAAACCACTTATTCCACCATCATTAATAACAGTACTTGATAGATCTTCTGAAGAATTTGCAGCAAGATTTGTTGGAGAAGTTGCTACTCCAGAAATTAGATGGAATAGTTCAATGAGAAATTATTTAATAGATAATATTTCACAACATATTGGAGATTTTGCATTTAGATTAACATGTAATCCATTAGCAGTATATTCACATGTACCAATTCCACCTATTGTATATGAAGAATTAAAAGATGAATTATATTGTGGAAAAATTTATCTTAAACAATTATGTGATGAAGAAAAATATCCAAATTATATTATTAATGATCCAGTAGGATTATTACAAGCAATATTACATACATGGGTTGATATAGCAGAAACACCAAAGAAAATGTCAACAAATGAAGCATGTCAAATTCTTGGAGTAGAAACACCTGATGATAAACAAAAATTAAGAAAAGCATATTATAAATTAGCACAAAAATATCATCCAGATAGAAATCCAGAAGGAAGAGAAATGTTTGAAAAAGTAAATGATGCATATAATCAACTTATTGAAATAGGACCAGATAATTCAAATGAAAAATCAGAAATTATTATTCATTCACAATGTATTCTTTATGAAAGATGTGGAGAAATATTATCACCATATAAATATGCAGGATATGGATTATTAGTTCCTGTATTAGATGATAAAGAATTAAGAAATAGAGCATTAGAATTAGTTTATTTAACTATTAAATCATCTATATTAAATATTCAAGAATTAGCTAGAATGGGAGGAATTGGAATATTATTAAAAATATTAGATGAATTATGTGGACAAATTAAAGAAAATAATGTAATAAGTATTAGATATATTCTTAGAGCTATGGCAGTTGCATCTAAATTTAAAGAATCATTAATAGAAATTAAAAAAAATAATACAATATTATCTAATATTAAAATATGTCTTGGAAGTGAATTACTTGGAATTGTAGAAGCATCATTAGAATGTATAACATGTTTTTCAATAGATGAAGAAATAAGAATTGATATGTATAATAGAAATTATCTTGGATATTTAATTCATAGAATTTTATCATATGATCCAACACTTGAAGAAGCAGAACAAGAAAGTATTCATCAAATGAAAAATGCTATTGCTGGAATGTCATTATTAGCAATGAAAGAATTAGTTAAAATTCAAGAAAATACTAATGAAACAAAAGCAGTATTTTCATTATTTACACCACAACTTGGATTAAGAATTAGATATGGTAATGTTAGTGAAATATTAAATTTAATTACATCTACAACACAAACACCATATTTATTATGGACAAATAAAACAAGAAAAGAATTAATTGATTATATTGATGCACATTTAAATGGAACAATAGAATGGACACCAAAAGAATATGAATTATTTAAATTTTCAACATTAAAAAATGAATTAATTATTAATGGAGTTTATATTAGATTATTTAATGAACAAATAAGAACATGTGAACCATTACCAGATCCTATTATTTTCTTAAGAGCATGTTTAAAAATAAATGAAATGAATAAAGAATGGGAAAAATTAAGAGCTATTGCTATTTATAATGTATTTGAACAATATGATGTTATTAATGCAGTTTGTGATGATAGTGAATTATTAGAATTATTATTTAATTTATTAAAAGAAGAACCAGATGAACCAATTATTCAAAAATCAATATTAAATTGTATTAAAAGAATTGTAAGTAATGGACAATGTGTTGAAATAATTGCTAAATCTAAAGTATTATCTAAATTTCTTGTATTACTTCATCCATCAAATTATCTTGAAGAAGTAATTCCATTAACACAATCATTATTTTCAGTAACAATAGGATTACAACAAGGAATAATTAGAGGAGGATTACTTTATCTTTTAAATCATTTTGTTAATGATAATGAATTTGAAAGAAGAATTCTTGTATCTCAATTAATTGGTAAAATGTCTACTACACCAGGTATTGGACCTAAAGTTTCATTAACATTAACTAAATTTTTCCCAATTGCTATTATTAATACAATGAAAATGGATCCAAGAGGAGCTATTATTTTATTAGATTCAACTACAGAAACACCTGAATTAATTTGGAATTCTAAAATGAAAAATGATATTGGAATTTTTATTAATAAAATGACTAATGCATTTTATACAAAACAACTTTCTGATTCAACTGTTAAATGGCAAGTTCCAGATACTTTTATATTTAAATATAAAGAACTTGAAAATGAATTATATATTGGAGGTGTATTTATTAGAATTCTTAATAAAAATCCTACTTGTCCACTTAATAATCCAAATATATTTACTGATGGATTATTTAATAAATATCAAGAATCTGTTAGACAAAGAGATGTTAATATGATGAATACCCTTGCTAAAACAGCAGCAATATTTTATACTAATCAACCTCAATGTTTAGATTATTTACCATCATCAGGTCATTTATCTAAACTTATAGAATTATTAAAGAAAGCACCAAGTGAATCTCTTTTTATTATTCTTCAAGTTATTGTAAGTAATAAAGAATGTAAAGAAAAATTAATTGATGAAAATGCAGTACCTATTCTTGCTATTACTATTACTCAAATGATAGATTATGCACAATTAATTTCTGATATCTTTAGATCAATGACTTCAAATGTTGATTGTAAAGGTGTATTATGTTTTGTACCTAAATTATGTGGAGAAGATGTTCAAGAATCATTATTTAAAATACTTGATGGTAATTTTGATCAACAACTTGGTTCTTCTTCTCCAGAAGTTAAGGCATTGATAGTTGATGCTTTACAAAATGCTTTACAAGATTCTACACATTCAGATCAATTAGAATATTGTTTAGACCAACATCCTTCTTGGGCTAAATATTCAAAACAAAAACATGTTCTCTATCTTTCTGGTGCATCATCTATTGCTGGTTATATTGCTGGTCCTACTTCAAGTGGGGCTGTAGGCTTATTGACTGCAGCAGAAGATGCATCAATCCATCGACCAGATGCACCACCCGAACTTAAATAACTCATTTAAATTCTTTTATATTTTAACATATCATTCATTTATAAACTTATAATAATCATTTAATGACAAATTATAAATAGTGATGATAATGAACATAATGAAAGAGATAACTATGAACAAAAGAGAAACAATGAAGAAAAACAAATAAAATATGAATAATGTAAAGATTTAGTATTTAAAATAGAAATAAAAAGTTGATAAAATGAATAAATTAAATGAGAATAAATTAAATTAATGAGAATAAAACATTTGTATTAAATTATACAATTAAAACATATTAATCATTCAATATCAAATATTATTAATATTTAATTATATTTTAATGATAAATAAAATAGAATAATAATCAATTAACATGAAATAAGAATTATTAAATACATAAGAACAATATCAAATTTATTAAAACAAAGAGATATGAATATAATAAATGATAATTTTATTGAATAATATATTGATTTAGATGATAATAAGAAATAAAGATAATAAAATAGAAAGAAATGATGAAATCAAAATACAAATAAATGAGAAAAGATAAAAAGATAAAAGATAATGATAAAGAAAGAAGAATATAATCAGAATAATAAGAAAATGAAGAAAGAATGAATCAAAAAAAGATAATACATAAAAATAAATAGAATAAAGAATTATAATTTAAATAAATGATAGAATGAATTATAAAATAGAAATAACTGATGATTATGATATTAACAATGAATATATTATTATAATAAAAGAAAAAGAATATGAAGATAGATAAATATATTGAAATTATTAATAAAATAAAGAAAATAATCAAATAAAATGATATATAAATGAATATTCAAATAATAATTAGATAAATATTTAAAATACAAAGAAATAAATATAAATTATTAATTTATTTGATATACAAGTATTATATGGATTAATATTTTAACTTATTTATTACTGTTATAAAATTGTATTCATATTAACATAATTAAAACAAGAAATATTATTGATTATAGAATGATACATAATAATATTTCAACACAAGATAGAAAATAAATGATGAAAAATGAAATATTTATTAAAGATTTAATACAAATCTGATTACAAAACAAAACAATACAAACAATAAATAAATAATCATTAATTAAATATGATAATTATAAATGATTTTGTAAATATACTAATTCATAATGAATAAAATTTATTACTATAATTATATTTATTGAATTCATAATTGAAGAGTGTGATAATAAATCATTAAAATAATAGAAAATGACTAAATAATAATATTAATTCTATTAATTGAAATAATATCAAAAATAAATATATAATTAATATTGAATTATCTAAAAGAGAAGATGAAATGATAATATTAATAGAATAAAATCAAAGATTTTAATAAATGAATAATGTTTTAATGATGTTTTATTTTGTTAATAAATGAAATAATATAAATAATAATGAATAAATAATAATACATTATAAAAGAAATGAACAAAGAAAATAATAAATAATCAAATATTGATTTTCTTTATTGTTTTATCAGATTCATTCTGGAAATTCATTATTTATTTCTATCATTTTATTTAATTCTTGTTTTATTCTTTTCAATTCATTCTTAAATGTATTCCAATTAGTTCTTTTCAACTTTCATTTCTTTAATTCATTAATCATATTCATTATCACTCTCTTGTTGCATATAATTTATACCTTGTTAATAATTTAGAACATATAAGTTTAGAATAAATTATTTTCTTATTTGTATTTTAATTTGTTCTATTTTACATATGTCATGTTTGTTGTATAGAATTAATATCTCATTCTTAATATAACATCAATACTATCGTTATTTTATATTAATATTATTGTTTTGTGTTATCTTATATCATTTATTTGATTTGATTATTTTTCTGTTTTATTTTTCTTTATTTCTATATTTCATATTCTATTCAATATGTATATTGTTGATTATTACTTATTTGTCTATTATTTCTTCTTATATATTTTCATTTATCGTTATTTATTTTATTATTAATTGTTTTAAATATTCTTAATAATATTATTTGTAATTATCATATCTTAATTTGATTTTGTATTTATTTTAATTCATCAATATAAATAAATAATTTATTTCTATGTTTATATTGTATTGTTGATTTATGTATATTTACTTTTTGAATTATTCTCATTAAATATATTGATATACAATTATGAGATACTATTAATATAAGAAAATACATTCATTAAATTATTCTTGATTCAATATTTATATTAATAATTATGTTATTATAATTATATGTTAGTTATATTTTCAATTCATCATAAATTTTATATTTTCAATTATACCTTCTTGATTATATTATTTAATCATTTTATTATCTAAAATGATTTACATTATTTTATATTTTCCTAATATCATTGTATATTTCTATCAATTTTAATTCTAATAAGATATATTTTTAATAATTTATTTCAATTAATCATTCTTTATATTGATATGAGAATATATTACATCCATTTATGTTTTTGTTATTTATTTTATTATTCAATAATAATATAATCAATT